GTATATATATATATATATATATATATATATACCTAGATGCGAAAGGCTACATTTAAATGTCAATTTGGTAGTAAAAGTATATAAAAAAGAAAGGTTATGTTTAAATATGGCGCTGATATGCCTATATAGAGAAATGTTACATTTAAATATTAGTTTGATGTCCATGTGGATTAGAAAGTTACATTTAAGTGTTTGTAGGACATCTATATGAACGGGAAATGTTACATTTAACAGCAATATGACGAAGGGTCACTTAGTTGTTACAGGATAACCTTATTGTTTACAAGTCACATATAATGAGAGGTCACTCAGTTGTTAGAGGATAACCTTATTGTCACATATGACGAAAGATCACTCAGTTGTTAGAGGATAATATTAATGTTTATAAGTCAAATATGACGAGATATAATTCAGTTGGTCTAAGTCAGTTCATTTGGTTGGTCTAGGTTAGGTCATTTCTTCAGTCAAAATCTGGTGATTCAGTTCGTTGGAGTCAAGTTACTTGATCGGTCAATGTCACATTATTTTGTGCTCTTTTTCAATATGTTGTCGTAATGTTTTTGTCCTAGTTTTGTATAATGGGAAAGAAAATTTTCCCTACTTACTTGTAAGCTTATCAAAACAGGTTTTATGTAGTTTTCCTGAGAACAGTTCAAGGCCTATGATGGCGTAGATGATGATGACAAATATGACAAGGAGGGCAATGTGCAGTAAAGGTAGCATGGCTCGTAGGATGGAGTTGAGAACAACTTGTAAACCTGGAAAAATCAATTATTTTAAATATAATCTAGGAAAGACATGTTGTTAAAATTGAAAATAAAGTATATAGAAATATCTTAAGTTAGAGAACAAAGGAAGAGGATGGATAAAATTCACTTTATTATTTGTTTAAGAGCCACTTGAACTTGGATGTTTCTAATTATTAAAGTATTAATCTATAAACTAGAAACAAATAGTTTCCTCTGATCGTTTCTCCCTTCCATCCACAAAATACATTAATCTGGTTTCGTGTTTTGAACATACTAATAAACTCAGGAGCTTCAGAAAAAATGTTTCCTGTTTCAAGTGTACCAAGAAACTCGGGAGATTCAGAAACACCTATTTTCCTGTTTTAACTGTACCAACAAACTCAGGAGCTTCAGATATATTTTTTTCCTTTTTTAACTGTACCAAGAACCTCGGGAGATTCAGAAACACCTATTTTCCTATTTTAACTGTACCAAGAAACTCGGGAGATTCAGAAACACCTATTTTCCTTTTTTCACTGTACCAAGAAACTTAGGAGCTTCAGATATATTTTTTTCCTTTTTTAACTGTACCAAGAAACTCGGGAGATTCAGAAACACCTATTTTCCTTTTTTTTCACTGTACCAAGAAACTCAGGAGCTTCAGATATATTTTTTCCTGTTTTAATTGTACCAAGAAACTCGGGAGATTCAGATTAATTTTTTCCTGTTTTAACTGTACTAAGAAACTCGGGAGATTCAGAACCACCTATTTTCCTGTTTTAACTGTACCAAGAAACTCGGAGAGTCAACCTATTTTCCTGTTTTAACTGTACCAAGAAACTCAAAGACACAGAACCATCTATTTTCTTGTTTTAACTGCACCAAGAAACTCAGAGACACAAAACCACCTACGTTCATGTTTTAACTGTACCAAGAAACTCAGAGACTCAGAACCATCCATTTTCTTGTTTTAACTTTGCCAAAAAAAGAAATTCAGAACAATCTATCCCATTGTTTGTGACTGTACCAAGAAACTCGGGAGATTCAGAACCATATAGTTTATTGTTTTTAATTGTATCAAGAAACTCAGAGTCAGAACCACCTATTTTCCTGTTTTAACTATGCCAAGAAACTCACAGACACAGAACCACCTATTTGTCTGTTTTAACTGTACCAAGAAACTCAGACACAGAACCACCTATTTTCCTGTTTTGTCTGCACCAAAAAACTCGGAGACACAGAACCACCTACTTTCATGTTTTAACTGCACCAAGAAACTCAGAGACACAGAACCACCTATTTTCATGTTTTAACTGTACCAAGAAACTCAGGAAATTGAGAGTCATCTACACTCTTGTTTTTAACATCATTATTAAGGTCAGGATGTTCACAGTTCTCCTATCTTGGATGTTGAATAAACATTACTCCTATGTGGTCTAACAATGGTTAAAAAATGGTTTTTGTACTTACTAGGAACACCGGATACTAATCTAAGTGGTCGTAAAACTCGAAATGCTCTTAAGGCTTTCACGTCGAACCCTTCTTTCATTAGGGTGGATAAAGCGGTGCTAATCAGACTAGACATGGAAGATCCAAGTAAGTAAATTACAATTTGTACAACAAAACAATCACGAGTATGTACAACAAGAAACTTTCTATCCGTGATGTAAGTAGTATCACCTCAACAAATCTAATTATGTATAAAGTTTAACATAACCAATAACTGTGACTTTGTGCATCAGGAAATAGCATGAAATTCACTGTGTTTTTATTTTATTTCTTTTAAAAGATATGTGGCTTAGGATTAGGTACAATTAACACCTTTGAATTTTTTGTATCAGCATAAAATAAGAGAGGATTCAGTGATTTTGCAAAGAATGACTGACTTACGGTCAAGTACAACTAACACCCTTGAGACTGTGTATCAGTAAATAATAACAAAAAACGTGCTGAAAACCATTGAGTCTTTTTATATTTATTGGATAAAAATGGTAGTTAATGTAGAAAATAATTCATATTTAACTCCATTCAAACTGAAGTTTAAGTACCTATTAAATCTCCAGGACTCAAAAATAACAGTAATCGTCATATCTTCCATTAAATAATATAGTGATTCAATTACGTACTTCAAACAGCTAGTAAACAACTTAAGTAGTTACAAAATGGTTACATTTGAAAGAATTAATAATCATTAAACAAAAATGTAAATTAAATTTAAGAACTAATCACTTAATACAAAATGCTTTCCACTTCACAAGTGGCATGCCCTACCCTATCAGTGGCTCAGTGGTAAGTCTGAAGGCTTAAAATGCTAAAAACCGGGTTTCGATGCCTGTGACAGATAATATATTATGTAGCTTTGCGCTTAACAACAAGCAAATAAACAAAAAGTAACATAGTGCTTAAATTAGGAAACTATACATTTATCAAAAAAGAAAATGTAAATAAAAACACTTACCCTATAACAACAATGATAAAATCAAGCATGTTCCAGGCATTGCGAAGATAAGCTCCCGGATGTAACAGTAACCCATAGGCAATAATTTTCATAAAACATTCAAGCGTGAAGATGACGAGAAAAACGTACTCTACTTTCTCCTACATCAATATACAACTACAGGTAAATACGTATTTAAAAACATACATGTATGTACCATAATAGAGAAAAGTGAGATTTGATTACGTTACTTGTATTAAACGTTTATACAACTACAGGTAAATACGTATTTAAAAACATACATGTATGTGCCATAATAGAGAAGAGTGAGATCTGATTACGTTACTTGTATTAAACGTTTATACAACTACAGTAAATATGTATTTAAAAACATACATGTATGTGCCATAATAGAGAAAAGTGAGATTTGATTACGCTACTTGTATTAAACGTCTATACAACTACAAGTAAATACGTATTTAATAACAGACATGTACGTACCATAATAGAGAAGAGTGAGATTTGATTACGTTACTTGTATTAAACGTTTATACAACTACAAGTAAATATGTATTTAAAAACATACATGTATGTGCCATAATAGAGAAGAGTGAGATCTGATTACGTTACTTGTATTAAACGTTTATACAACTACAGTAAATACGTATTTAAAAACATAAATGTATGTGCCATAATAGAGAAGAGTGAGATTTGATTACGTTACTTGTATTAAACGTTTATACAACTACAAATAAATACGTATTTAAAAACATACATGTATGTACCATAATAGAGAAGAGTGAGATTTGATTACGTTACTTGTATTAAACGTTTATACAACTACAAGTAAATACGTATTTAAAAACATACATGTATGTGCCATAATAGAGAAAAGTGAGATTTGATTACGCTACTTGTATTAAACGTCTATACAACTACAAGTAAATACGTATTTAAAAACATACATGTATGTGCCATAATAGAGAAGAGTGAGATTTGATTACGTTACTTGTATTAAACGTTTATACAACTACAAGTAAATATGTATTTAAAAACATACATGTATGTGCCATAATAGAGAAGAGTGAGATTTGATTACGTTACTTGTATTAAACGTTTATACAACTACAAGTAAATACGTATTTAATAACAGACATGTATGTACCATAATAGAGAAAATTGAGATTTGATTACGTTACTTGTATTAAACGTTTATAAAACTACAAGTAAATACGTATTTAAAAACATACATGTATGTGCCATAATAGAGAAGAGTGAGATTTGAATACGTTACTTGTATTAAACGTTTATACAACTACAAGTAAATACGTATTTAAAAACATACATGTATGTACCATAATAGAGAAGAGTGAGATTTGAATACGTTACTTGTATTAAACGCCTATACAACTACAAGTAAATACGTATTTAATAACAGACATGTACGTACCATAATAGAAAAGAGTGAGATTTGATTACGTTACTTGTATTAAACGTTTATACAACTACAGGTAAATACGTATTTAAAAACATACATGTATGTGCCATAATAGAGAAGAGTGAGATTTGATTACGTTACTTGTATTAAACGTTTATACAACTACAGGTAAATACGTATTTAAAAACATACATGTATGTGCCATAATAGAGAAAATTGAGATTTGATTACGTTACTTGTATTAAACGTTTATAAAACTACAAGTAAATACGTATTTAAAAACATACATGTATGTGCCATAATAGAGAAGAGTGAGATTTGAATACGTTACTTGTATTAAACGTTTATACAATTACAGGTAAATACGTATTTAAAAACATGCATGTACATACCATAATAGAGAAGAGTGAGATTTGATTACGTTACTTGTATCAAACGTTTATACAACTACAAGTAAATACGTATTTAAAAACATACATGTATGTACCATAATAGAGAAAAGTGAGATTTGATTACGTTACTTGTATTAAACGTTTATACAATACAAGTTTCATTTCTTGTTTTACAATTACAGTGCAATGTTCAGCTCTGTATCAGATAGAAGGTAAAATGAAGAGAGACTGTGGTACACTAAACAAAAAGAAAGTACAGAAATACTGGGTGAGTGGGTTGCTACTGTAGAAACAAAAACAAAATTGAAGTCTGTGAGTGAAACAAAAGAGAAGGTAAGATTTATAAACAAATTAGGGGAAAGATTCACAGGAGAGAACTGTAATGATCTGACAATAAACAAGCACCAACTCTTATTCCTGCTTTCCCTTTTGGAGCAATAACTGTTCCTAAGCGTCAGATCCTGATGCGTGATTGGGCTGGAGAAAGTTTCTTATTGTCAGTTACCAGCAACTCTGTTCTGATGCCTTGATTCTTTATTGTAGTGTTTGGTAGTTGCTAATTGTCAGTTACCAGCAACTCTGTTCTGATGCCTTTTTTTTATTGTAGTGTTTGGTAGTTGCTAATTGTCAGTTACCAGCAACTCTCTTCTGATGCCTTGTTTCTTTATTGTAGTGTTTGGTAGTTGCTAATTGTCAGTTACCAGCAACTCTGTTCTGATGCCTTGATTCTTTATTGTAGTGTTTGGTAGTTGCTAATTGTCAGTTACCAGCAACTCTATTCTGATGCCTTGTTTCTTTATTGTAGTGTTTGGTAGTTGCTAATTGTCAGTTACCAGCAACTCTCTTCTGATGCCTTGTTTCTTTATTGTAGTGTTTGGTAGTTGCTAACTGTCAGTTACTTGCAACTCTGTTCTGATGCCTTGATTCTTTATTGTAGTGTTTGGTAGTTACTAACTGTCAGTTACTTGCAACTCTGTTCTGATGCCTTGATTCTTTATTGTAGTGTTTGGTAGTTACTAACTGTCAGTTACTTGCAACTCTGTTCTGATGCCTTGATTCTTTATTGTAGTGTTTGGTAGTTACTAACTGTCAGTTACTTGCAACTCTGTTCTGATACCTTGTGGATGTGGCATAATTGTGTTGCTGTAACATATGATAGTATAAAGTAGGATGCCGTTAGTAGGGTAGTAAAAAATTAGTTGCTATAACATATGATAGTATAAAAGAGGGTGTCGTAAGTAGGGTAGTAAAAAATTTGTTGTTGTAACATATGATAGTATAAAGTAGGGTGTTGTAAGTAGTGTAGTAAAAAATTAGTTGCTGTAACATATGATAGTATAAAGTAGGGTGTTGTAAGTAGTGTAGTAAAAAATTAGTTGCTGTAACATATGATAGTATAAAGTAGGGTGTTGTAAGTAGGATAGTAAAATAAAAAAGTTTTTTTACGTATATTGAATCCATTTAGGCATAGCACGTGATACCTGTTGTGTAATTAAAATAACAACACATGCATAAATAATCTTCAACGAATTGCTCAGAAATACACTCACCAGGTACTGGTTAATCTGTTTCGAATCACTATTGAGATATGGATTATATACAGCTAATGCTTTTACGAATTGCTCAGAAATACACTCACCAGGTACTGGTTAATCTGTTTCGAATCACTATTGGGATATGGATTATATACAGCTAATGCTTTTACGAATTGCTCAGAAATACACTTACCAGGTACTGGTTAATCTGGTTCGAATCACTATTGGGATATGGAGTATATACGGCTAATGCTACACAGTTAGCGAAGATGGTCAAGAGAATAAGATATTCAAACGGCCTGAAACTGAACTTTAAGGAAAAACTTGCATAAATGAAGAGACGTTTTTATAGTATTTACAAGGAAAAATATATTCTTTATTCGGAAGGTCGTTCTTTATATATATAGCGTTTATAACTCTTAGAATGTAGAATAAATTCTTTGTTAAAACAGTTGTAATATTATATATGGTGATTCTAGCACTTAATTCAAATACCTTTCATAAACTTGAATAAAATGATGCAAATAACATCCATAAAAAACGTAAGTGAATAGATAAAAAAAATACTATGACACTTCTTAAGTGCCAACCATTTAACAACGCTCGCTGTAGGCTCATCTTCAAACATTATTTATAATTATTGTATTTTTAAGTGTTCGGTAAGAGTATGCTCGTAAAGAAACAAGAACATAAAACCTTGAAATGAGTTCAATATTGAATACTTTCACGTACTTGTAATATTAATTTACTCTAGGCGAACAATTTTTAGTTACAATGAGTTACATTTAAAGTGACATTTGTGGTTCTTTCAAACCCATAAAATAGTTCTCAAGATTATAGGATCATGGAGCAAGAACAGTTTTTATGTGTTTTTTATCAGTTTCAATCGCACCAGTTGGTTACGGCTCTCGACTCGCTCGCCCTTTCAGGATTGGAGCATTTTAATATTCCACAGTTTGTTGGAGTAGCCCAGAGTTGGCGGTGGGTAGTGTTTTGTAGTTGCTTTCCCTCTAATCTGTTTCTGCTAAATTGGGGATGGCAAGCGCAAATAGCCCTCGATTAGCTTTGTGCAAAATTATCCAAACAATCAAAGAATTATATAATGTAATTTTAAAAACCTACTTGAGAGGGAACTTGATGATTATTAAATCGCTGAAAACTATCTTTGTGTTTAGGATAAAAAAGATGCGAAAATTTTAAACATTTGTGAATGTGTTTGAATAGTTCTGAATTTCACATGTGATGCTAATATTCTATGGTGGTGCTTTAAGCAAACGTGGTCCTTGAGAGTATACGTAAAATGCAAAAATGAAAAGAAAACACTTGAGCTTTATCTCCCTGGAAAGGAAAAAAAAGAAGTTTTTAACAAGTTCATAAGCTAAATAAAACTATCATGAAATTCGAACCTCCTACACAAACTACATGAAAGGATTAGCAGAATGTTACCAATAGTCAATATATATATTGTTACGACAGCGGAAGTCATGCGACGCTGGAAGAATCAGCGCATGAGTTTCTAGAAAGATCATGCCTTATCGAGGAACCTCGCGAATGTCCGAGTGTTTGCCAGGCGCCCTCCTTTTTAGTATATAAGCCCGACAAAAAGCCAGCTATAGATATGCAGATAGATTGAAGATAGAGATAATTGAGTCAAGCGAACACTAGGCACAGTAAGTAAAGTGTGTGAATTACTGTGATTTATAGCATGTGTCATAAAGGTCATTTTGTTTAAAGTGACTGTGGGAATTCTGTGTATTACAAAGTTGTATCGAGAAATAATAAACAAATTTTAATCAAGAAAGGATCTTGTATTGCTGAAGTTTCTTGGAAAGAATTTATACTGGAAATTAACAGACAAGCAGATATGTAACAATATATTAGGTATATCCACACGAAATTTGACAGTCTTTCAGTTAATATCACAAGTATTTCAAAATAAACAAGAAAAACAAGAAAATAAACAAGAAGAACAAGAAAATAAACAAAAAGAGAGACAACAGTGGCAGCTCGAACAACAAAATAAACAAAATAGATTACAGTAGTTGTTGTAGGAAAAAGAAAAGAAACAAGAAGAACGAGAAAAGAAACAACACAAGAGACTAAAGTAGTGGCTGGAGGAGAAAGAAAATAAACAGGAAGAGAGACTACAGCAGTGGTTGGAGGAGAAAGCAAATAAACAAGAAGAAAGCCAGCATACACAAATGGAAAAGATTAGTAAATTTCAAACTGAATTAAATATATTAAAGGATGATTTACTGTCTCTTACACAAGGAGGATATAATAGCCAGGGATCTAATCAGCCTCAGACAACGGGAAACCCCTTCCAGACCCCGAAGCTAAACCCTAATGCAGACATTTTCAGTCCAGCCAGAAGTCACATTCCAGACACGAGTGTCAACAATAGGGATGATATAGTACGAAGGAAGCCACAAGAATACGATGGGAAGGCACCATGGGAAGAATATAGAGCACAATTTGAACTCCTGGCAGAAATGAATGGATGGACAGAGGAACAGAAAGCAGTGTGATTGGCAACGACCCTGAAGGGACAACCATTGGAAATACTTGGACAGTTGTCAGCAAACGACAGGCACAACTATAGAGCACTGGTAGCTGCTCTAGAGCTCAAGTAAGGAACTCAAAATCAGTCCGAAGTCTACAGGGCTAGGTTTATGACTAGAGCCCGTGCTAAAATGGAGAGCCTGCAGGAGCTGGCACAAGACTTGTAAAGTATGACACACAAGGCCTACCCAAATGCACCACCCGATGTCCTCAAGCTGTTGCTGAGGGATCAGTTTGTAGACGCCTTGGACACTCCACAAC